CGAACGTTTTCCCACCGCCTTTCGCTTTCAATTATGTCCTGGCTCTTTGTCCTTGTGCCTTGTGTATGGATTTTCGATGATGAAATCACACGAACTGCGGTCAAATCGCACGCACGCTTGGCTCGACAACATTTAGCTAACTGATTTGTCGCCATTCATTGAAGTTGTCATTGTTGCTCTCGGGGTGCTTTTCGGTTTTCTCGGCATTTTTGATGATGACAAAGGAGCTCGTGGCTGTGGAATTTTCTGCTGGTAAGCTGGTTTGTCTTGTTAGCGTTCTGCCCGTCGACATGTGTGAGATTTCCGGCGCTAGAATTTATGGGCCAAGATAAATCACAAAGTTTTTGTATTCAAGTTAGACACCATTTAAAGGAAAACTCTTTTGAAAACTTCTTTTGTTTCAAAAACTTATAGTCTTTGCTGATTTGTTTATTTAATGTATCAAACTAAATTTAAGGCATTGTAGAATAAATAATAGTATTACACTTGTAAATTGGAGCAAATTAGTATTTTTATTTCTTTTATTTACAATTTAAAGTTTTAATATTAAACAAATAACTGATTCTTACAGTCTTTTATTTAAACTTCAAACCTATTCAAAACTCTTTTAAAATATTATTACCTATTACATTTTTTTTAAGTCAACGACATAAACATTAATTGAAATATTAGCCAACAACTTTTAAATTGAAATGCACCTTTACTTCTTTAACGACAATCTACTGGGGCACACTTTTATTATTTATCACTAAATGTTACCTGTACCAAAATAATAATTTTGTTTTGTTCTTCAACTGACGTAACAATAAGTTTAACCATTTCGCCTCTCGCATTTTTTATGACTTATTTAATTATTGTATCGGGCGTATCTGGTGTTAGTGCCGATGTTTCTACCCCCATCTGCCATTAAAATATGGAATAAAAACGCAGTCATTCGTCGAATAGGATGTGGCATCGAGGAACCATTACCTGCCCCAATAAAAGCTGAGTGGGCCTGTCGCCATGTGACTGCGGTAATAACGACGGCATAAAATTCGTAGAAAAGGAAAATCAAAGCGCAAAAAACCAGAGAGAATGATGGAGAGAGGGGGTGTGCCGGGAGTAGAAAACAAAAAGAGAAGCGCCACCAAATTGACTTAATTCCCTATTGTTGTTTTGGGTTTTCCCGTTTTTTCTATTCGATTTGCAAAGGGGGAAGCAAACAGCTGATTTGATTTAAGAGAGAAAGCTTCCAATGCGTTCCACTTCCAGGGGCTCTCTCCCACTCTCCCTCTCTCTATCACTGTAAAGCCAGAGAGAAGAGAGAATTACTTTTGGAGCTTAACCCACATTGCCGAGGAGGTCTGAAGCCTGGCCACCAACGAAGGGCATCTTCAGTCGTTGGAATACACTCGTTCGTCGTGGACACAACTGAAATCGTTGTGGCGCCGGAAATTTGCACGTGGGCAGCGGTACTTAGTTCTTTTCTCTCATCTCCTCACGGTGCGTGTGTAACTGTGTGTCTGTGTGTGTTAGTGTGCCGGACTGCGGATGTGTGAGTGTACCATCCGCAAGCTGTAAATGTGAGCAATTGAAAATGTGTTTCAGGCAGAAGTTCTCCTTTTATCTATGCGAAATTAAAGCGAATCGACAAACACATCTACGTTTTGTGTGTGTGCGTGAAATGTAAATGTATGCCAAGGCTTAAGAATACGTTATGGAGCCGCGTCATCTTCTTCTTTGTCTGCCGCCCTGCGGCATTTCTTCATCTTTATTTATTTTACGCTTTTTCTCGTCTCGCACACTGTTTGTGGCGTAGGGCAGGCGCCCAAGAAGTTTTCACTGAATTAAAAAGAGCAAAAAATTACGATAGCATTTTAATGTTAGCCACATCGCTCACATTCCACTTAACGGTCATTGACGCTCGAGTGCTTTTTATTTTGGGGGGCGCAACGTTGCATGCCTTTTATTTGCACCGTCGCAGCACTACTTGCATGCAATTAGGCTCTTGTAAGTTTAATCGTCGTGGATGGAATAATTAAGCCAGGCAAAAGCCAACGACACCGTAACCCCTAAAAGAAGGCAAACAAAAGTTTCCATTGCTGGCAGTTCAAGTCGTCAAAAGCTAAGACCAAGACTCCAATTACCAACTACTTTTGGTTGACAATTTACTTTGCCATTTTAATTTGCGCTTTTTATTTATAATTATTTTATTCTTCATAGTTCTTTAACAAATTTTTTTTAGGGTATCACTGCTTTTTTTTAAACTTACTTTATATTGAATTATGCTATTTCCTTATTTGATTAAATATGTAGCTGTATATATATATACTGTATTATAGCAAAGGCAAAAAATCGCTGATTTACTTTTCATTTTTAACTAGCAATTGGCTAAGTTTTAGTTTTTTTACTCACAACAAATTGTCATACAAGTAAAGTGGTAATATATAGGTATATTTTAATATATTTATTTTTAATTATTTACATTTCTTACATTCTTACATTCTTACATTACTACATTTCTTATACACTCGTTATTATTTATATAGATGTAGAGTACCATTTGGTAAAAAATTTGTATTATGGATTTACAAAGCCAATAAGATTTTTTTATGTTTGTTGACATTTCATGTTTATTTCATGTTACGTTATTGGTAAAAAGCTAGGTCAGTTAAAACCTGAAAAAAATGGCAGCCAATCTCTAAAATAAATAAGCCTTTAACAACAGAAATGTGTGTAAACAACAGTACCAAAAAAAATATAAGCTGAGAAAAAATCATTGTACAATGTATTAATAAGAAAAAGAGTGTGATGAATCTTTAATAAACATGTTTGGTGGGTCACAAAATCTGCCGAAACGAAATTAAAAACATTGTACTCTTATTTATTAAAGCATTAAACAAAAATATAAAGGAAACGTGATCGTTATTAAATTAAATAAACCCCTCATACAAAAATCACAAAATAAATTAAACAAATTATAGCAAAAGAATCAATTTTCAACAAAGGATCTAGCAACGACAGCGAACAAAAGCATATAAAAGCTGAATTCCGTAAAAAGTAAAAGCAATTCAAATTCACTTTTGAACATGATATGCAATATATTTCGATGCAGGATATATAAAATTTCAATAAAACGGTTTCCCAATAGTGTATACCAGTGAGTGCCTGCGCAACTGTGTGAACACCTACAAACGAAATAAAAACGGAAATATCAAATAAAGGGGAAAAGGATACGCCAGCAAAAGGACTTTCGACTGTCGCATCTGAACAAACGAAAGTCGAGGATTATTTTCGCCAGCAGAGAAAACAATAAAACTGCCAGTAGTCATAAAAGCAGCAGCTATATACATGGATGCGTGTATATAGATCAGTGACTTTCACAAGGTATGTCGTGCAGAAAAAACAATAGCGTTGCTATAAGCTTAAGTTGTCAATTTCACAAAGCTAGGATATGTCCAAAATAAATAATTGTATCCTATTGCCCTGGGAGATCATCGAATGATTTACCCAACACAAAAATTTGTTCAGTGAAGTCTGTTCGCTGCTCAGATCAATCACATTGCTTCCTAATTTACCCAGCATCAACAAAAATAAAACCAATTCAATGAAGATAAATGAGTTCAAAGTGAAAACCGAGACGTAAGTCGTCTATATATAAAACCCCGTGCCTTATCCCAGCACGGTCTCCACTTTCACTAGCGATTGGCGGCGGTAATAAGCGATTACAATGTCATGAATCTAAATCCAAGACACAGCAAGAACGCCGCAGTCACGTGCGTTGGGTAAAAGCAGCCGCAGGACCTCAATAGGACGCAGGTGTTGCGTCCCAAGGAAACCAGGAATAAGGATAAGAATACGGCCATCGACTAGCGACGACAACGCACATCATAAGAGCTGGGTGGTGGCCATAATTTACACCGCCACCCTGTGGCTGTCATAAAAAGTTTCGGCTTATTACTCATACGCCCCCACGGCCAGACTCTGATGAGCAAGGAAATCATATTAATCATTCTGCCAATGATTGGGATGATTTCTCCGCCGCTCTCGACTGTTTTTTGCCGTCTTCCATATCGATTTGGATACTTGACTATGACAGACACGCACAGAGCCGCCCAACAAATACCTGAGTTGCTATTTTTAGTTGGCCCCAGCTGTTGGGCTGCCACATTTTGTGAATGGAAGTACGATTTGAGGTTTCCGGGGAGTGCATAAATTAGCGCAAATAATTATGTAGATTTTTTCCCCTTTTTATTGCCGTGTGCAAATAAACACCGGCTGACGAAGAAAGACGAGCTTGTTTTGAACTTTTGAATATTTTAACGCTCCATAATTAGTCGACGGGCAAGGAATCCACTTGAAAATTTCCCCCTTTCATTCCTATATTAAAGGTGAACTTTTGCTGAACGAACTTAGCCCATGTATTCGCTTCATTATATTTTACCCAAAGGAAATCCGAGTCTCAGCTCGAAGTCCAATAAAAATTTATTGAATACCGGTTTACCTTTAAATCTTTTATCAGATAATAACGAGCGCAGAAAAAATGTTTATCAAATTTAAAATGGGTTAATTAAATGGGTATATTTATTTTCTCTACGAAAACTTCCAATCTACATTTAAAATATATTTGCTTTTCCATATAACATCGCTGAATGGCTTTTAAATTAATACTAATTGTCTAGCTATTTTAAAATAGAAACAAAAGTGTTCTAAAATAAATTCGCATTATATTATTTTAATTAAATAATCTGCTTTTGTTTGTTTTTAATTTAAAGGCAGATTTATATTTGCTTATAGAATATTTTTCCATTGTACAGATTTATAGTTTTAATCTACTTTTTATAAAACTTTAATGTGTACTTATTTTGATCCGTGTGTCATCTGCTTCCGTTATTAGTGAAATTAAACAAATTGTTTGCAGATTGAACCAGAAGTGTGAGACAGCACAGAATAAAAAACAATGAGTACGATATTTTTTACCATGTGCTGTCCCACATCTGGTTTTAAACTTATGTTTTTTTATTTGGTACATTTTATTTATAACGGCTTAATATTTCATTTATATTAAAAATGGTCTTCGGTATTTACATCAAACATTGTCATAGGCAAGCAGAACTGCTTATGACATTTAAAAAGGGTTCAAAATGTTATGCCACCTGCAATTCCTCGGAAATATTAGCATCACTGGGTTTGGTGCCTTTCATCTTCAGTGGCACAATGCCGAACTTTGTGGCCAGTTCCTCTAGAACGCACAGGGTGCAGGGTGACATTGTGAGTCCGCCCTGTTCGTCGACCATCTTCATGTGCTGCATCTCCTTGTCACCCGGCACCATCGCTGTTTTCCCCACCTTGTTGGGCATCGCCTGTCTTAACAGCCGGTGAAAATCGCCCAATCGGTCTTCGAAAGAAGGACAAAAACGCATCGGATCGATGGCCACATAAACTTGGCCCAGATCTGCCGGTGCATTTTCCGTACTATAGACTCCACGGCGCTGGATTTGATTTGCATATCGAGCACCTGTCATCACACCACACAAAATATCTACCATGGCAGCCATACCAAAACCCTTGTGTTCCGGCTGAAAGGCTCGTATTCTTTGGGCCCTCAAAGCCTCCTCTGTTAAGGTAGTCTCCTTTCCATTCCTGTCCAAAGCCACTAATTTGGGCACTTCCTTTGACCAGCCATTGCAATAGGATAGTTCCAGTTCCTCCAGCGAGCAGGCGGCCATACCAAAGTCAGCCAAAAACTGTTCATGGACACCGGATGCGGCGCAGGCAATTGGATTTTCCCCCAGAATTGGTTCAACTCCTCCGAAGGGCACCAGAGTAGGGGCTCCGTTGGTCATGCAGAGTCCAATCATTCGTTGCTCCAAGGCCTGACAGGCATACCAAGAGGCGAAGCCAATGCAGTTTGAGCTGCGGGCGGAAACCCAACCGATTCCCACTTCTCTGGCCTTTTGCAGGGCCAGATCCATGCAAAAGTTGGCCACCACTGGACCAGGAGCATTATGGCCATCCACCAAAGCCATGGCCTTTTTTTCGGACACGATTCCTGGGATGGCATTGCCCACTACGGTGCAATTCAGGAGATCAGCTGCAATCGCAGGCAATCGATGGATGCCCATAGAACGCTGGCCCATGTAATCAGCGGCTATCAAAGCATCGGCCATTTCACTGGCCGCCTGTTTGGGCACCTTCATGGCTGCAAACACCTGACTAACAAATCGCTGCGCCTCCAGGACATCTACCAAACGACAGGAGTCCTTCATCCGTTTCACATCCTCAATGCCGCCTGGTTTCGTCTGGCCGCCACACATGAGCAGCACCCTTTTGATGTTCTGCCACAGCATTTCGGATCCAGCTGTTGATCCTTCGTTAATGTCCTTCTCATCGTCTATCTTAGCTTGGTCCAGCTTGGACTTGTTGATCCACTGAAACTCGCTTTTCATATCCTGGGTTTTCTCATCATTTGACTTGAAGGCAGCCAAGCTTTTTGTCACCTGGTTGGTGTTGCCAAGGTTTTCCATGGACAACTTGAGTCGCACCTTTCGCAGGGCGTCTAAAAAGTTGACCAATAGCCTCATTTTCTAAGTTGTTAGAGTAACACTGTCTCCTAATGTTATTTGCTTTTTAAACCATATGTTCCTATAGTGTTTCTTTGTAGTATTTGTCTAAGGTATATTGAAACCCGAAAATCAAAAACGAACCATTAATATTTGTTGCCCATAAAAATTTAATAAAAATGCTTTTTTATAAGTTTGTCACTTGCACATAATAAACGGGCTAAGCGATAGTCTCTTAATTTTGTATTAATAATTTAATTTCTATTAATAAACCCAGTTTATCGCGTTTTAAAGTAAAAGTTTGCAAACACAATCTCTATTTATTGCGATGACATTCGAACAAAGACATTTTAAAACCAAATTCCTCCGCAGCTAGTTTTCTTTGATATTCATCGCGTGGTTTTCCCAACGGTTATCTAACAACTTGCATATGCTGGTAAATATAAAAGGACATATTTTTTCACAAATAAGCGTACATATCCAAATGAGCTACTTTGCCAGCCACCCCTTGCTGTGCGTACTTGAATTGTCAGCGCAGAAACAACGAGATATCAGCACAGAAATAAGCAGAGTGATGCCAAAAAGCGAAAACAAATGCAATGCAAAAGCTTAAAAAATGCACACAAATTGCACTGGCACAGTTAAGGATGTGTAAAGTAACCTTGAGGCGTGCACACACCACACAGATACATAAATGAACAGATACAGATACATATTTAGGGTACTGCATCAGTGTTCAGGGGGTGTGGAAAATGTGCCTGTGACCTTGTTTATTTGTGTGGACGCCCAGCTTGGTTCACATAAAAATAAAACAGCACTCAAATTTAACTCTCTCAATTTGTTATGCTGCGCCAGGCTTTATATGGAAAACAAATATATTATGGTTGCATTTCAAAATAATGATAATAAACGACCAATTAGTTTTCACTATTATCGGTAAAAAAGATAATTGAATTAGTTATCTGTCAACAGTTGGAATATGAACTTATAATACAAACATAAAGTTATTTTAATATCCACTTAGTTTTTTCAATCTTGCTTGTAGTTCTTCATAAATAAATAAAGTTTATCTCGATGAGTTATATGGAATCACATGCGATGATATTTAAGTTTTACTTTAGGTAATTACAAAAATAGATCCTTTTAATAAGAAAAAAATCGGATTTACTTTTGTTCTCCATTTTTGAATTTTAAATTTACTATTAAATTGTATAGCTTAATTAATGCAAATTTCTAGCAAGTTAGACCAGCCCCAATAATGTACAATATTATATAGACAATTTTCCCTTAACCTTACCGAATTCGATGTAATGCCTTGATTAACTAAAAGGACCGAATAATAATAAATTACTTTTGCTAAAATTTTTAGATAAAGATGAAATCCAGTCAGCTGGCAAGTCGTCTCGTCAACCCAGCCCATCAGCACAGATAGTCTAAATGACCAGAAAGAAATCGCGTCAATCGAGAGCCACATCGAAATAGGTGAAGACAGTTTGACAATAGCTCGGTCCGGTTGCACAACTTGAAGCTCCACTGTGCCACGATGGGGGAAAGTCAGCTGCTGCTGTTGCTGCGGCTCCTGCTGCTTCCGACAGTCCTTTTTGGCTGGATGGACTGCGCAGAGGCCTCCACGGCGGACATCTACAAGGGCGCCCGCCTGGGCCACCGCATCGTTCAGACGCGATACGGCCGACTGCACGGACTCATCCTGCCACTGGACAGCTTTCGCTTCCTGCGGTCCGTGGAGGTCTTCCTTGGAGTGCCATATGCAACGCCACCCACCAAACAAAATCGGTATGTATATGAAAAAGGGTCTATATACAAATTGGTTTTCCCAAAACTAGTTTCCTTTATTTTATAAAAAATAAATTTATAACAATGTGCAATGATTTTTTTAAAATGATTCATTAAATGTTTTTTTTATGTATTTTTAATAATTAATAATGAATAGTTAATAGTTAACTCTACAGGCAAAATGTTTTTGACCAAGAGTACCTCTTTTATAAATCAAAAACAATTCAATTTAAAAACAAATATGTTTTTATAAATATACTTCTTTTAACCATAATAAGACAATACAGAAGGCTTTATCATTGTTTATATTAGAGTTATAAAAGTATATTCTTTAATGTCATTACAATTTATTTCGTATCTCTGTATAGAGAAACTCTTTTAAAATTTCAAATACTATTTAATCAAATTCATTCATAAAAGGATTGTTTACTTTTTTTTGCGTTTTTTTTTGTATACTTGTGTTGCATGTATTTTTTCCTCAATCTGGGTAATATGTTTAGGAGATTTGTTTTCGAGTCGACCGTAATTTTCCAATAGCTTACACCTACTATTTCTCAATGGAAATCTTTAAGTTATCGGTCGCTCAATTTCATTTATCTAGGTTTAGTCCCACAAGAGCGCCAGCGCCTTGGGACGGCATTCGAATATCGGACAAATACAGTCCGGTTTGTCCGCAGCGATTGCCAAACATTCAAAACGAAACTGCGGCGCTGGAGAAGATGCCCAAGGGTCGCCTGGAGTATTTGAAGCGACTGCTTCCCTTTCTGGAGAACCAGTCCGAGGACTGCCTCTACCTAAATGTCTTCTCGCCGGTCAATGGTAAGCACTGAAATGAACTTTAAGACGTCGTGCAGGAATTCCACGAAAAATGGCCATCCACAAATTAAGCACAAAAAGCTTCACATAAATCTCATTTAAATTCAATTAATTAAGATTAATCGTACGCCACGTAATGCCAATAATTTCTACGCAAAAGAAAACCGAGAGCTCACGTAACCACTGCGCAAATCTTATCGCAAGTGCCACCCCACTAAGCTCACAATCCCATGGCAAGCCGGATCCGGGGGAATCGCTAATCTGAAGCGATTCCTTCGCCGGAGTGCCGGCGAAATCCGCTTTGCACGCAAACGGAAACGTTTAATGGGTCATGAGCGCTCTCGGGCACTTGGCGGTGTGTTGAAAAGGGAAAAACGCGATATCACAAGTTTAAACAAAAAATACAACTAATATATTTGTATCATGATTTCAACGGCTGATATACTAACACGGGTTTTTTCACCTATTTTTTTTTCTGTTCTGTCAGCCGGAGCCAATGAGAAGAAATTGCCGGTGATGGTGTTCATACACGGCGAGTCCTTCGAGTGGAGCAGCGGAAATCCCTACGATGGTAGTGTCCTGGCCAGCTACGGAGAAGTGGTGGTGGTGACCCTCAACTATCGCTTGGGAATATTGGGTAGGCAATGTTAAATTGATTACTGATAAAAAATAAATTCTACACTCCAATTACTATTCACAAAAGTCAAATAAGTCTTATTAAAATATCAAGGAATTCAATTATTCAACACTTATGCATATCATAAAAATAATAAAATAAATAATCATGGTTAATTTAATTTTTTGACAGGTTTTCTCAATGCCAATCCCAATCCGCATGCCCATGCCAGGGTGGCCAACTATGGACTAATGGATCAGATGGCCGCCCTCCATTGGATCCAGCAGAATATCCAAAAGTTCGGAGGAGATCCAAACTCAGTAACCTTGGCGGGTCATGGAACGGGGGCGGCCTGCATCAATTACCTAATGACCTCGCCCACGATGGTCCGCGGTCTATTCCATCGGGCCATCCTAATGTCCGGCTCTGCCTATTCATCCTGGGCCCTGGTCGAAGATCCCGTGCTGTTCGCGATCAAGCTGGCCAAGGAGGTAAACTGCACCATTCCCGAGGACATCAATCGGCATCACGAGCAAATTGTCGACTGTTTAAGGGATGTGCCGCTGGACGACCTATACAGCGCCGACATTCAGGCGCCCAACTTTCTCACGTCCTTCGGGCCTTCGGTCAGTTAAAAATAATTTTTAATCGTTGAAAAGCTTAAAAAGTACAATTTTTATTAGCATGTTTCCCCTTTTATTTATAAAAATACAAATATTCATATATTTAAAAGTATCAGTAATCATTTCATATTAAAATCATAGTCATAAAAAGCTACATTGCTAATTAATACTTAAAAGCCAAACCCTAAATGCCTTCAAGACTTATAAAATCTATAAAATTTAAGACACTCAACAAATTTAAAGTAGAATGATTCTTTGCCAAGCAAACCATTTTTGTTCTCGAGTAAAAATCAGTGCCATTTGAGAAAAGATTTACTCATCGAAGGACACTCATTTAAAGCCATTGATTTCGCTTTTTGTGGCACTTGCTCCTTTTGTTCGGTGCTCGCTTCAATGGACTTTATTACTTACTTAAGCCCTCCTCTCCTTGTGCCTGGACCACTACTCCTGTCATTTACTTGCGATTCCTTTTCCATCCTCGATTTCAATTTAGGTTGATGGCGTTGTCATACGACCCGGACATTCCAATCTCGATATCGATGATTTAATGGCGCGCAACTCGAGGCGTTCGTCAGCGGACTCCGGTTTCCAGTCGTCCGCCGGCGGTGGAGGCGGTTCAGGAGGCGGGGCCGGCGGCGGGGGCGGTGGCTCCGGATCGGCGTTCGGCGGTGGATATTTTGGAGGCGGCGGAGCGGGAACGGCAAACATGGGCGGTCACTATGACGTCCTGTTTGGCGTCGTTACGGGCGAATCGATTTGGCGCTTCAGTGCCCACGATATACAAAATGGTTTTGAGGGCGACAGACGCGATAAAATTATCCGCACCTACGTTCGCAATGCCTACAATTATCACCTCAACGAGATATTCTATACGGTAAGTACATTTATTTTTCCATCTTTAGATATTTATGTATATATTTTGAGGGGAGGAGATGTCTGCGCTTCCAGCCATAAATCTTGTCAATCAGATTTATCTTCCCCTCTAAATGACTTTATGTGGTCGAATAGTCTTCTGCCATCAGTTAAAGCTTAATTATTGCCTTTATCTTGGAGTTCGCTTTTTAACTTGAAAAGTTTTAGCTTGAAAACTTTACAGACAGTTGGCGGATGAAAGAAATATGTTTCGCCATAGTGAATCATCTATTTTTCTTGTCGTTTCTTTTTGCCTTCAATTTTGTATGCAAATTGAGCGTTGACTTATGGATGCTTATGCAAATTTAATCCCACTGGCTATTTCA